GAGGCTGCCCCATCCACAGTCCACCCCGCTGATGTACGCCTGGGGTGCAGCCAAGCGCACGCAGGGGCAGGTCTGCAGCCCCGTGACCCAGGGAGCCACACGCCTGCCCAGGCCTGCCAGGCGGCCCAGCTGAGGCCACCGCGGGTACGACTCCCAGCTGCGCCTCTTTCCTTGGCTGCGTGACTCTGAGCTTCAGGGTCCCCATCCTGAACCGCAGGCCAGTCCCCTGGAGAGGCCACACCTGAGGTCAGCCCCGAGGTTGGGCAGGGCAGGAAGTGGAGGCCTGAGGCTGAGGGGAGAGCTGTCACGTGGGAGGTGTGCCCGCAGCCTCGCCAGCTGCTGGCTCTGGGACCAGCCGGGCCCCTCCAGGCCAGGCCCGCTGCACACCCTAGGCACCTGGGCCAGTGACCTCCCACCCCTCCCGCTCCCTCAGAGCCAGGACCCCTCCCTCCAGGCCGTTGGGGGTGGTGACAGCGTGCCCTGCTCCCCTGGGCCATCCGGTCACTCCAGGAGCCTCCGAGCCTCTCCCACGGCCCAGGCGGTTTTAGAAGGAAACTTGGGGAGGGGGTGTCGTACGGAAGGAAGCAAGTTGCACAACAGCTCCGTCCGCACAGAGCAGACCGTCCGGTACGGGAGGCATGAGATTTCAGAGTGAGGTGCCGACCCATGAGGGTGAGAAGGGCCCTGGGAGCCGTTCCAGGCAGAGAGAGGGGTGGGGCAAAGGTCCTGGGGGAGGGAGTGTCGGGCGTTTGGGGGGGCAGACAGCAGGCCTCTGCCCACCGCTGAGGACAGGGCTTACCTGTCCCGTTCTTAGGGCCTTGGGGGCCCCTCCACTAGTGATGTACGGCTATGCCATCCGCTGTTTTTAGAGAGGACGTTCTTCCTAAGATGGAACCAAAGCCTCTCCCCTCGACGTGAAACCTCAGCCTCCCTTCTAGGCCCCCTGGACCCAGAGCAAGCTGGCTCCTGCCGCCACCTCCTCACCGGCTCCAAGGTGACCATCGTGGTGGGGAAGTGAATGGAACACCCGGTGACCTAAAGCATCTACCCATGAACCCAAGACAAACCAGATGGGCCTGTTTTATCAGCCTCGGACGCAGTGAGAGGAGCCAAACTCTGGAAGAGCAACTGGACCCAGGGCAGCGAGGGGAGGCTGGGGAACTGGTCTGAGCGCTCCGGACGGGGACTGGAGGGCTTTCAGTCAGCCTGTGGGGGAGGGGAAACAGGTGGACGGTACTAGTGAGGGTGTTCAAGTGAGTGCCCAGTAACTGAGAGGAGAGAAGGGAGCTTGGGGATCGAGTGAACCTTTGCTGTGCTTATGGTCTGTCTCTGTGACTAGCGTATAAGCTCCATGAGGGCAAGGGTTGTGTCTGTCTGGTCCGTGCCTGTATCCCCAGGGCCTGGCTACAGTAGGTGCTCAGTACGTGTTTGTTGAATGAATGAATGACTCCTGTGGGCTGTGAACCCTGGTGCTACCCAGCTCTCTGAAGGGAAGGCCAGTTCTGCTGGGGAATTGCTGTGTGACCTCAGGTCAGGATCTTGCCCTCTCTGGGTTCAGTGTACTAATCTGTAAAACAGGGGACTGGACCAGAGGGTCTCCAAGGGTCCCTCTGGCCTAAGGCTCTGAGGCTTCCTGCGTCTGTTACTCACCCCAGCTGACCCCCCATTCACCCATCGCCTCAATCCCCCAACCCTCCCCCAGCCCCCCCAGCTCACCTGTAAACAAAAGGCTTTCAGGCAGTACCTTGGTGGGCTGTGGGGGCTGTGTCTTGGAGCAAAGACTCTTCGAAGGCCAAAGGCAAGGGGCCCCCAGGAGCCACGCCAAGGCAGACTGGTGGCTGCAATGTGTGGAGGGGACGCAAAGGAGTGTACTCTGGGGCCTCCAAGCCTGGACTCTGCTGCTGGCCCACCCTTGGCCTTCTCACCCTATGCCTTGGGCTCGGGAGCTGGAGGGGGTGCTTGGACCTACGTGCTTCTCACGGGGACCTGCAGGAACCAGGGAATTGAGAAGCTGGTGATGATTGTGACCTCTAACCCCCAAACCCTGACTCCTGACCTCCAGTATCCAACACTCCCACATACATGCACACATATGTACACTCAGTGGACACGCACACAGTTACAGACACTAACATACACTCACACGGACGCACAGACACACCCGAGACGCCCATACATACAATAGACATACAAGCAAACACAGCTGAACAGAGCAGACACACACACACATGTGCGCACCTGTACACACATGGTATAAACACACAGGCAGTCCCACAGAAACACAGATATGTAGGCATTGGGGCCAGCCAGCCAGGGCACCTGCCCACAGACACATAAACACAGAGGATCATCTCACACGCATACAACAGAGACACAGATGTGCACATCTGCACGATGCGCCCTCACACTCACGGTTGTGGACCCACGGATGAACGTGCCAATACTCATGTAGGTACACAGCATGGCCATGCCTGTGTACACTCTGAAAGACGGCCAGACCCACCCAGACGTGCACAGACACGGACACCCGAGGGGATGCCGGATCCATCACTCACACGCATGCGCGCACACACATGCACAGTGACCTGCCCAACAGAGGGTCAGCACCGGCCCCGTGGGCCCCGAGCAGACCTCCGTCCCAGCCTGGCCGCGTGCAGGGCCGAGGCCGGGAAAGTGGCAGCTCCCCAGCCCCCACCCCGGGGAGCTGGCGGTCCTCCAGGCCCAGGAGCAGAGGGGGCCAAGGTGGGGCGGCCCCGCTGACGCCCGGGTTGCCTGCCTCTTGGCACCCAAGCCCTCTTCTCCTTGGCTGTGTGACCCTGGAGGCCTTCTCCCCACGGCCGAGTGGGTCCTAGAAATTTGGGTAGCAGCCTGGATTTCGATTTCTTTTGGAGAATGAGAAGATCTGTCGGGACTGGTTCCAGGTCCCGTAGGACATTTCAGAAGGACGGTGGGCACCAGCCCACCTCTCCCCCTTGCCCTGGGGCTGCAGCACTGGGAGTCTGTGCACCCAGACCTTATTCTCCTGCGTGTGTGTGCGTGTACATCCATTCACCTATGTGCACACACCTTCTCAGTGATATTTTTACAAAAATGGGCTCGTTCAGCAAAAACTGTATGAGACCAGACACAGATTTCCCCTTTAATATATCATGTGTACGTTCTTATGCTAAAAAATATCTACCTTCAGGAATTCCCCAGCCGTCCAGTGGTTAGGACTCCGAGCTTTCACCGCCCGGGCCTGGGTTTGATCCCTGGTTGGGAAACTGTCCTGGAAGCCGAGGGGTGGGGCCATAAAAAAAAAGAAAAAAAAACGGAAATACCTACCTTCTGGCTCTTTAAAATACTACTACATTTTGAAACAATTTAGATTTGCAGCAAAGAGAGCACAAAGGGCTCCTGTCCACGCTTTACCCAGCTTCCCTGAATGTGAATGTCTTACTTAACCGTGGCACATTTGCCGAAACTAAAAAATTAACATCAGTGAATTATTATTATTTAAAAAAATATTTATTTATTTATTTATTTGGCTGTGTTGGGTCTTAGTTGCGGTACATGGGCTCTTCGTTGTGGCACGCGGGCTCTCTAGTTGTGGCATGCTGGCTCTAGAGTGCACGGGCTTAGTTGCCCTGCAGCATGTGGGATCTTAGGTCCCCAAACAGGGGTCGAACCCATGTCCCTGGCAGTGGAAGGTAGATTCTTAACCACTGAACCACCAGGGAAGTCCCAACATTAGTAAATTATTGTTAACTAAACTAGGGGCTTTATTAGGATTTTGCAAGTTCTTCCACGACTGTCCTTTTCCTGTTCCAAGACCCTGTCCAGGACCCCATACGGCATTCAGGCCAAGCTGTTACCTTTCCTCCTGTTTTGTGACCTTGACAATTTTGAAGGGCACCGCTCAGGCGTCTTGTAGAATGTGGGTCCATTGGGTTTGTCTGATGTTTTTCTCACGATGAGACTGCGGTAATGGTTTTGTGGGGGAGACCCTTCTCGGGGCATCCCATCCGGGTACCTGACGTCCACATGATTTATCACTGCTGGTGTCCAGGGGCGGAGCATCTGCTGGGCTTCTCCACTGTAAACTACTGTTGTTGCATTCCTGCTCCATGCTCTGGATGTCAATCGTGAAGTCAAGCCACGCTCGAGGGAAGGGGGAGTATTGTGCGCGTTACCACGACCTGGTTTCAAATGACAGGGACAACACTCCATTGTATGGTTCTGTCGTCGTTTGTTGAGCTGGGACCCTAATGTCTTACACTTCTTCTGTTGCTTTCGGTTTTTCCTTTTACAAACAAAGCAGCAAAGAACAACGCTGGAGCTCAACCTCACATTCAACAAATATTTTCCAAGCAGCCTCTCTGTGGCAGGCGCGCGGCACACCCGGCAACAGTGTCCGCCTCTCTCTTTCATCTTGTTTTCCTAGAACAAATTCATGGGTTGGGATTGCAGGGTCAGAGATAAGCATATTTTTAAGGCTTTTGATAAGTGTCACTAAACAAACCTGCAGGAGAGTTGTACCAGTCTGTCTGTCCCCTGGATTGGCTTCCTTTTCGTTTTCAACCTTTATTATTATTATGAAAATAACTCACGTTTTTTTGAGATAACTGGAAGTTACCAAACATATTAAAGAATTATTATTTTTTTAGGTGTGATCATGGTATGTGGCTGTTCTAAAAAAATAGTCCTTGGGACTTGCCTGGTGGTACAGTGGTTAAGGCTCCATGCTCCCAATGCAGGGGCCCCAGGTTTGATCCCTGGTCGGGGAATTAGATCCCACATGCATGCCGCAGCTGGGAGTTCGCATGCCTCAACTGGGAGTTCGCATGCCTCAACTAAGGAGCCTGCGTGCTGCAACTAAGACCCAGTGCAACCAAATAAATAAATAAATGTTAAAACAAAAATTTTTAAAAAGAAATAGTCCTTATCTTTTAGAGACACACGTTGAAGTATTTTTGTTGTTGTTGTTGTGCAACTTCCTTTATCGCAATATTTTATTGCAGTGGTCTGGAACCAAACCCGCAATATCTCCAAGGTATGCCTGCGTATGATCTTTGCACACGTTGAAGTACTTACTGAAGAATGGTATGAGTTTGGGGTCTGCTCTAATATAATATGGGAGGGGAGGGGAGGGGAGGAGGGTGCCTGAAAAGAGGCTCTTCCTGAGCTGGACTGTTGAAGCTGGGGGTGGGGACACCAACCTTCATCACATGACTCTCTATAAAAACCAAAAGTTTGTTTTCAAAAATTTACACACATGATATAAATCAATAGCTTAGCTGAGAGTCCACGTTCTTGTCCCTCCCAGGGTTAATTTCAGCAGTTTGGTGTCTGCGCCTCTAGAACTTCTCTGTGCAAATACTGTGTATGTTGTCTCTGTATCCACTTAAGACAGGAGGGAGCTACCAAGACACACACCATTTTCCTACCAGCTTTTAAACTTCACCTTACGTTGCAGACGGCTGGCTGCTTCAACCCTCTCATTCTTTACTAGCTTCGCGGTGCTCCCCTGTATCAAAGAACCATCATTTATTTATCGGATCCTCCGGTGGTGGCCAGCTGGCATGTCTCCGCGGTTCTGCTCTTGAGAACAGGGACGCATCCTTGTGTGTAACATACCTTTGTGCACGTGAGCAACTCCACACCTATCTTTCTAGAGGGAATCACTAGGTCAAAGGGTGTGCATGCTTAAAATTTTAATCGAATGGCGAAATTGCCCTCCTGCCGGACTTTGTATGTCCAGTGCCTGTCATTCTCTTCAAGTGCATTTTTGAGGACTGTTGTCATTCGGTGTCTGCAGGAGTCAGAGCTGGAAGGGGCCTCCATGATCCTCTGATCTCCTTCCAGGGCAGCCGCACCTGAGCCCCGGGGAAGGGCGGGGCCCGCCTGCCCACAGCACCCTTGGCCGGGGTCGGGTAGGGCAGTGGTTATGGATATGCTGCCCACGTCTGAATTAGGCCTCACCGTTTACTGGTTGTACGACCTTGAATGCTGTCCTCGACCTTCCTGGGCCTCAGTTTCCTCACCTGTAAGCTGGGAGTAATACTAACCCCAGGCGGCAGTCAGGGAGGGGCTAGTAAGCTGCATTTGGACCATTTGGGGTGGCTTTGGGGGACAGCTGGGGGATGGGAGGTTAACAGTGACCCCCATCAGGCACCACTTGGCACTGCCAGAACTGCCTTCCAATGGTGGTAGTTGGGTTCAGTGCGCTTATATGTGATGGAACCTAGCATCCAGCCTAGGGCACACTGACAGTGCTCCATGACCATGGAACCCCGAGAGCCGACGTGATGGCTGACAGGGGCTAGACCAGGACCAGGGAGACCCACCTTCCTGAGAGACTGACCAGGACAGGGAGGCCCGACCGAGAGGAAAAGAGGGGACCCAAGGAAGAGGGCCGACCTGGCCCCCCGCTTGTTATTGTAAATAAAGTTTTATTGGAACACAGCCTCGCCCACGTACTTATGTATTGTCTATGAAGCCTCCACGGGACAACAGCAAGAGGGGGTTAACTTGCGACAGAGACCACGGAGCCTGCAAAGCCTAAAATACAAGCTCACCAACCCCGACATAGAGGTTCTAGGCATAATAAAAGCTGAAAGTTTCAGAGCAGTTACTGTTTCAGATACCAAACTAGACACGTCACATGTATTAATATATTTTGTCCTCACACAATAACCTATGAGTAGACACTGTTTGTGGCAGCCAGTCTCAAGGGGGCCCCCGGTGAAGCTCACGGAAAGGGGACTGAGGCCCTGGGGCAGTGCCCGGGGCTGGGGCAGCTGTGCTGACTCATAGAAGGCGGAGGGACTTTGAGACCCTGCTGGCTTCTGCCTCCCCCTCCTGGAGCACTTTGGGGATCCCTGAGCTGTGGGGAGAGCCTGGGCACCACCTCACTGGGCTCACACTAGACCCCCAGGCCAGGCCAGCAGGACGGAGCCGGGGCCCAGTCAGCCCGCACAACCTAGAGAGGCAATAAAGCAGCAGCCGGTGGCGCTGGGTCGGTGGGTGGTTTCGTGCAGCCCTGTGACCTCCTGGGCCCTCCTGGGCTGGCGACCTCGTGGGCTGTCCCTCCCACTCTCCCTGAACCAGTGGGCCGCGCCCCTGCCCCTACAGTAACTCCCTCGGGGAGTTTTTCCAGATGCCGATTAAATCCGAATATCTGGGAATCGGGGCCCAGAGTAGGTATTTTTTAAATCGCTCAAGACTGGAGAACCACAGCTCCATCACTGTTTCCAAAACTCGCCTAAAGGTCAGGCAGGCCTGGCAACCCATGGCTTCCAGAGTGCCGACAGGCCCTGGTTCGGCATTTCCAGGGAAGGCCCCGTGAGCTGGAGAAGCAACACATCCCCCAGGTGAATCTTATTACCAAGTTAAGAAGCGGAGGGGGAGAGGAGGGCCAGCCCCCAGATGGGAGGATTGTCCGGGAGTTTCCTGTTCTGTGAAACACAGGCTCACCAAATCCCCAGCTGTGCCCTCTTGGGTGGTCCCAACAGAAGTAAGTGCTTATGTGGGCCAGAGTCAGGCCAAAGGGTGCCCCTCCGAGCCTCACTCACCACGGCCCAGACTGGGGACATTCGCGGGGCCGCCCAGCCAGTGGACTCTGCGGCAGCGGTGAGAAATCGTGAGGCACTGACACACATGACGGCACAGGGTGCACAGACCCACGGGTGAGTGAGAAAGCCAGACACAGAGTGCACATTCCACTCACACGCGGTTCAAGGGCCGAGTAGACTGATCCGCGGTGACCGAGATTAGAGCAGTTACCTCTGTGAGTGTGTCCACGCGGGGGTTCCACAGCTGGGTCTAAGAGTGGATACGCACACGTGTGCATACACAAGTCCCGCTCCTTACAGGATGCTGTCAGGTGTGCAGAGCACGACTTGCCTGCATTTGGGGCCCAGGTGAGAGAGCTTTGCTTGCTTGCCTGTTTATTGCCTATTTGAGCTCTACATTATCCAGAGATGTCTGCAGTGAACAGATCATAAGTGTACAGCCCGATGAATGTTTCTGTGTTCATGTGCAGTATTTGACCTTGTCCCAAGTGCTGTTCTAGGATCCCGGAAACGGAAACCAAGGCTGGAAGACACCCTGTTCGCGTGGGTTTTATACTCTGGTGGGGGAGAGACAACAATATGAGACAGAACGGTCAGTTTTCGTTGGTTCACACTTTGTGAGTGCCTACCACATGCCGGGCGGTGAAGCAGGCGCGGAAATGCAGCCGGAACCACAACCCAGCCCTGCTCGGACAGTGCCACAGTCTGGTCATGTCTGGAGAGCCCCACTTGGAAGGGTTAAGTACACCCGTCCGTCCTGAATATTTCCCGAAGTCTCCCACTGACTCTGTCCTGATTCAAGCCTCTACCTTCGCTGCTCTGTGGCCTGTCGGAGTAGTTTCCTAATCAGTCATGTTTCTGGTCTCCACCTCTGCTTCATTCTCCAGGCCAATAGCCCTTCTTAAGTGTTCAATCTAAGGATTTCACTTAATGGTTCCCTACTGCCCAGGCAGCTCTGGGGTCAGTCTGTGTGGGCTTGAATCCTCACTTGGAGAGTGCATGTTGGGACCACAGGCAAGTTCTTCAAACGCCCTGAGCCTCGTGTGTTTTCTGTAAGATGGAGACAAAACAACAATAATAATAAACACCAACATCGCCCATCTCCCTGAAGACGGTGAGCTTTAATCTGCCGTAATAGGTATTCGTTCAGCGAGGGCTAAACCTGTGCGAGCACCGTCTGTTTACTGTTCCCCCTCACTCTCACCTCTCTGTGCTACTTCTGTCTGGAGTGACTTCCCTTTGCCTTCTCCTGGCTGGTTCTTATTCAGCTCAGGTCTCAGCCTGGCACTGCCTCCACCAAGGAGCCCTCCCTGAAGCCACAGACAGTGCTGGGTGCCCTTGACTGGACCCTCACAACACCCCGGATTGAATTTGTCTGTCTGCCCTCTGTTCTTATTTGTCTCCGCTTGCTCAAGTGTGAGCTCCTCCCAGGCAGGCCCGAATCAAATGCCTCTTTATTTCCCCAGCTGCAGACCCTTGCCATTCAAGGCAGGCACTGGATGTGTCCGCTGACTTGAGCGGAACCTGCCAAGCATCTTCTTTTTTCTTTTTATTATTTATTTATTTGGCCACCCCATGTGGCATGCGGGATCTTAGTTCCCCAACTAGGGATCGCACCCATGGCCCCTGCAGTGGAAGCACGGAGTCTTAACCACTGGACCTGCAGGGAAGTCCCCCAAGGATTTTCTTAAGGGAAGGGGCCTTTGAGTTGGCCTTGAGGCATGGGTAGGACTTCAAAAAGTTATTTTAAAACAAGTTACACATGCACACAATATCAAATCCAAAGTAGGACTTTAAAAAGTTACTTTAAAACAAGTTATACATGCACACAATATCAAATCCAAAGAAACAAAAGGGCTCACAGTGAAAATTAAAAGTAGGTCACCTCTCACCACCCAGCTCCCTCCCCAGAGGCCACCATTGGTGTCAGTTTCTGAGTATTCTGTGCAATTGTCTGTCTTCCCCACCACACACACACTTTTTTATTTTGCAAAAATTTAAACCAACAGAAAATTTGCAAGGATCGGACAATAAACACCTTTTGCTTGGATTCACCAATTAACATTCTGGCACATTATGCTAAATATTTGATAGGCATTATATCATGTAATGCTAACAATAAGCACACAATCATGCCAATTTTGTTGATGAGGTAACTGAGGCAGCGGGTAGGTGAAGGCACTCAACCAAGGTCAAGAGCTGGCCTTCCCCCTTAGGTGACCACAGGAGTTTGATCCACCTTTTTTCAGCTCTCTTGGGAGGAAAGTATTTTCTTACACTGACTTGAAATTCACCTCCCCGGGTTGTTCACCGGATGCTCAATGGAAAAGTACACAGCCCTGGAAGCAGTTGCTGCTTCTCCTAAAACCTTCCATTCCCTTAGCAACAGCTGCTGTCGCTGCCACTAACACATGCTTCAGTGTCGCCTCCTCTGTGAGGGCTGAGTTGGCTCACCCCCCGTTTGGAAACTCCCATGGTAGACTCCTGGCTGCCGGCAGGATGACCTTTACGCGCGCCCGAGCTTGGAACCCGAGGCGTGGGGTGCCCTGGCCCTCGGGAATCCCTCAGCCTCATCCGTCCTGCTCCTTCCTCTGCTACCTCCACCCCAGCCCCTCTCGACCTCTCACCTTCTGCTTGAATTTCCCCTCCTCTCTGAAGCCACCCCTAATTTCCCCAAGGAGCCCCCCTCTCTTGGCTGCTGAGCCTTCTGCCTGCGCCCCCTTTACAGTCTTCTCCAAGTGGTCTTCTGGCCAGGAGGCTGGATAGTGGACGATTGGAGTGACAGTTGGGCCGCCTAGTAGACCCCGCACACGCACACATCGGAGCCTTATTTTCCTCAAGCACGTAGTGGGGACAGGAATGCCTGGCTCAGTACCTGGCACCGCGTCAGCCCTTACTAATCTTCTGCAATAGAACTGACAGCTCTTCCGGGCTGACATCTCTTAGTCACCCCCCGCCGCTCAAAACCCTACGTCCCTCTCCTTAACTTCTCTGCGCCTCAGTGTCCGCCCTCGTAAGATGGGGATGGGGATGGGGAGGCTGTGAGCCTTCGCTGAGCTCATGCATATCAAGTACTTGGAACAGTATGTAGCCTTGCTGACCGCCACGCGGGGCCGGCGCATAGTGGGTGCCAAACTAATCGTCTCCGCATGGGCGCGGGACCGCGAGGTTGCAGGAACTGTTTGCAGAGCCAGCCCGCCGTCCCCGTCCCCGCCCCCGCCCCCGCCCCCGCCTCCGCCCCCGCCCCCGCCTCCGCCCCCGCCTCCGCCTGCAGGCCCCGCCCCGCCTTCAGGCCCCGCCCCGCCTTCAGGCCCCGCCCCTCCCGCAGGCCGCGCCCCCCTCCCGCAGGCCACGCCCACGCAGCTGTCAGGACCGGCGGCCGCGCGCCCGTCCACCAAGCCTGAACTCCCCACCACGCCCCGCCTTACTTCGCCTACACAAGTTACCTTGCGCCTGGCCGCCTTTTGTCCCACCCCCGGCTCCCATTGGCCAGGGGGTTTCTTTGTTAGCCAGGACGCGTCGCTGCCATTGACCCGCCGGGCCGCCGATCGCGCCGGGAAGCGGCCCCGCCCCGCGCACCGCCACGCCCCGCGCGCTGGCCTGTCGCTCCCTCGCGCGCGCCTGCCGCCCTGGAGTGCGCCCGGCGTTCCGCTCCCCTTCGCTGCGGCCGAGGGCGGTGCGGGCACCGAGCGCGGGGATCGGCGGGGCGGCGGCGGGAGTGGGAGTGGGCGCGCGAGGCCGTGTCCATGGGCCCGGGACCGGCGGGCGGCGGCGGCGGCGCGGGCGGGCGGCGGGGGCCGCGCGCTCTGTGAGGCGCCGGCCTGCGTGCGCGGCTGGAGGCGGCGGCCGGGGATGCGGCGGTGCCCGGCCTGAGCCCGTTCCCGGCCATGTCGGCGGCCAAGGAGAACCCGTGCAGGAAATTCCAGGCCAACATCTTCAACAAGAGCAAGTGTCAGAACTGTTTCAAGCCCCGCGAGTCGCATCTGCTCAACGACGAGGACCTGACGCAGGTGAGCGGGCGGCACGGGCGGGGCGGACAAAGCGGCGCCCGCGGGACTGAGCGGCGCCCCCCGCTCGCCGCCCGGTGACTCATGCGTTTCGGCGTCTCGAGGCGCCCGGCCGAGCGCGGGAACAAAGCGCGGGGCCACACTCGGCCGCCCGGCTCCGCGCCCTCTCCCACCGGCGGCCACCGGGCGGGGGCGGCCTGGGTCCGGGTCTCGCTCTGGGCCGCGACCCGGGGCCGCCGGCGGGGGAGGGGCTCGCACGGCCTCCCCGCCCCCAGGGTCGCCGCTCCCGGCCGAGTCTCTGTCTCTCGTCCCTGGGGGGTTTCGCACGCTTTGGCGGCGGAAACCCGCCCACAGCGCGGCGCCGGGCCGTCCCGCGTGCCCCGGCGCGGGACCTGGGCCCGGCCGGCCCTTCCGGAGCTGGGCTCTGCGGCCCCGCGCGGCCACTCCCGCTTTCCCGGCCGGCCCCGCCCCCCCCCCACCCCGGCCTCCCCCCCGCCTCCCTCCCCCCCCCCAGGCCTCCGTCCCCCCAGCCGCCACGAGCTTCCCTTGGTCCCTCTGCGCGAGGCCGGGAGCCCCTTCCCGTTCCAGCCCAGCTGACTTCGTCGTGGGCGCTCCTTCCACCGACACGCTGCTTTGGAGTGGACTGGCCTGGCCGTTTCTCTTGCTGCGAAGTGTTTACACGGCCGGCCGAGTGGGTGGCAGGGCAGGGGTGACGGCCTGGGACCGGCTGCCTTCCCCAGTGGCCAGAAAGAAACTTCTGGTACCCGAGACCCAGAGCTTCACCCCGCACCCAGGGCTGCGGAGTCAGAGCGTTAGGACGGCAGGGTCCGTGTCCTGGTGGTGTGCCGGGCTGTGGTGGGCTTCTGAGGGAGATGCTCTCCTCTCCACTGGACGCCTTGCCCTGGGAAGCAGTTCATGTGGCCATGAGGGTCCTGGACCAGGAGTCAGGGGACTGAACTTCTAGGCTTGGCTATCACTTGCAGCTGCGTGACCTTGAACAAGTCCCTTTGCCTCGTTTTAGTTTATTTTCCTTCTCTGTAAATTGGGAGCAGGGATCCCTGGCTCTCCTGCCTCACTAGGCTGTTGTGAAAAGCAAGGCATGACATCGTATGAAACTTTTTCTTCTTGCAGTTTAAAAAACAAATGAACAGGAATCACCTACAGAACAGTAAGCTTGGATTTAGGAAGTTTCTGGTTTGGCAAGTGTTATTCTGAGAGAGTTTTCTGGTTATTCCAGGCAGCTGCCTAAATTGGGTGTTTACACCTCCTAGGGCTTGTTTTCCGATTCTTAAACTTAGATGAATTAGAGTGGAATCTGCATATTTGAATTGAGTCTGTTTTTAAAATGCTGATTATTAATTGGATTTGGTGGGGAGGGGGATGTCACAAATTTAAAAGTACCTTAATCTTGCACTGTATTCACAGTTGAATTGTGGGTTTTGAAATAGGCCTGGGCCCTCCAGGGCACAAGTGGAATGGTCGTTTCTGAAATGAGTGGGGTTATTTGTGCTGGGAGAGACTAGGCCAGCCTTCTACCTCTTGGGATCTTTCAGGAAGAAACTGTTTTTGAAGAGAGACGGAGGGAGACTCAGGGTTGTTGCCAGCAGCCTTAGCTGCTGCTCCCTGCATCCGGCCCTCCCCCAGCCTCTTACTCTCATCCTCATGGCTCCATTAGAAAACCTCAGCCAATCGGTTCCCATCAGTCTCCTTCAAGCCCCTGCTTCCTGTTGCCCCTCCCACCCTGAGCTTATTTTAGACCATCAAGGCTGGAAGATAGATCAGTGATCATTGAGGCCACCTCCTCTTTAAGGCATTTATCCTTTAGTCCTTCTCCTATGCATTTCTCTGCATACATGCAGACTCAAGTACAGTTAAAAAACCTATTTAAACCTAAACTGTATGTGCGTTTTTGCTCTGAGATATATTTTGTTTTTTCTGCTTAATGATGTTTTATAGCCATTTTCATGGTAATACATATCAATATACCAAACTTGTTTTTTGCACATTGTACCATCAGGGATATTTTGCATATTGTACCATCAGGGATGTACCATAGTTTAACCATTCCCTTATTGGTGGACAGCAAGGTTACTTCCAGGTTTTGCCATTATAGACAGTGAATGCCTCAACGAACAGCTTTCTAACTGCTTTTGGGTGTGTGTGTGTGTGCGTGTGTGTGTGTGTGTGTGTGTGTGTGTGTGTGTGGGAGAGAGAGAGAGAGAGTGAGAGCCCGAGAACGCATGTGCGTGCGCGCACGAAAGCAAGTATTTCTCTGGGGGCAGATACGTAAAAATAGAATAGCTAGGTTGACATCAAGTGCATTAAATTTTTTTTTTTCTACAGATAATCACCAAATTGTCTTCCAAAAAAGGCTGTATCATACCATTGCCAGGATTGGGTATTATCAAATTATTTAATTCTTTAATAATTTCCCTAGTTACCAGTGAGATTAAGCCTCTTTTAGTAATATTTATTGAATATATTTTGTTCTTTCGTGGATTTTCATATTATTTGCTCATTTTTCTATCGGGTTAGGGCCCCCCCACCATTGATTTGTAGGAGCTTCTGTATATACCCTAGGTCAGCGGTCCACAAACTTTTCCTAAAGGTCAGATAGTAAATATTTCAGCCTTGTGGGCCATAAGATCTTAGTGGCTACTACGTAGCGTTGCCATTGTAGCACAAAAGCCGATGTGTGAAGTTGCTGTATACAAGACATACACTAAGGGGTATGGCTCTTTCCAGTGAAACTTTTATTTACAAAAATAGGTAGCTGGCAGGATCGGCCTGTGAGCCATGGTTTGCCGACTCCTGCTCTAGATGTTAATCTGGCACCTGTCATACATTGTCTTTAATTGTATGGTCATTTCTCTTTCTCATGTGGTAGTTTTAAATATGACAGTTTAATTCCCATGTTTTTCTTTATAGTTTGTAGTTTTATTCTCATTCTTATGAAGGTGTTCTTTCCAATGTTATAAAATAGTCTCTGATGTTTTTCTTAGTTCTTTTATGGTTATTTTTATGCTTAGCTTTGCTTGTTCGTTTGGTTTTTGGCTGCACCGCATGGCTTGTGGGACCTTAGTTCCCTGACCAGGGATCGAACCCAGGCCCTTGGCAGTGAAAGCGTGGAGTCCTAACCACTGGACCTCCAGGGAATTTCCTATGCTTAGCTTTTTAATCCATTGGATTTGTGTTTTAGGAAGATAATTCTGGCTAAAGGCAGAAGTTCTAATAGATGCTCTTGAAGAAGTCCAATTAAATGTCAGTAAAGGTCTTCTCTAGGTCAGTGCTGGCCAGGAGGGAAAGGAGTCGTCAGACACCAGGGACAGGATATTGGCAGTTGATCGGAGTGGGGATTGAGGAAACCTGTGTGGATAAAAGTACCCTTAACGGCAGTTGAGAATAGCAGATTTGGAGTAGATTTGAGGGAGCGGGGAGGAGTAAAAATAGTGTGGTAAGTTTGACTTGGAGGAGGTAGAGGTCCAATTTGGTCCTTAGGTGGAATCACCCACTTAAGGCAGTAGGCGGTTAGAGCTGGAGGAGGGGTGGGGACCAGGTGGGAATTCTGATGTCATGGGAGTGAATGGAGTCACTCAGGAGGCTGTGTAGAGTGAAATGAGAATAGAGGGAGCAGAGCAGCAGGTCTGGAACTAGGGTTCTTGGCTTCCAGGTCCTCATCCCAGCCAGGGTTCCTGGTGGGTATTGACCTGACATGATGTCTCATTCTCCTGCTGACTCGTGCACTATTAGGAATCACTTTTTGTGGAAGGAGTACCAAACTTCAGTTCTAGTCCCTGGTCTAGCATTGTTTTGTTGTGGGACCTTGGCTGGGTTGTTTCTCCCTCCTGGAGAATGAGCAGGTTGGTCTTGATCTTTCCCAGCTCTTCAGTCCTTCTTTGTCCCCCCTCAGCCCTCCTGGTCTAATTCTGCCCCTTGCTGTGTCCATACTCCGCTGCTGGGACTGCTGGGGCCTTGGTGTAGGAATCCCAGACATAGAGGTGGGTGGGCCAGGAGTTGGCCTCAGTGAATCATTTCATCAGTCATTTCAGTCAATCATTTCATCATTTCCCTTTGTTCCTGTGACTTTCTTAGAAGTTCCATGGTATGGAACTTCTTTATTTGACTTAACATTCATCTCAGAAACAATGGGAAGATTCCATGCCCACCCTTTTTAGAAGATTTGTGATTATTCACAGATTGGTAGGTAGTTTGGCAAGGGGTGTGTCAGAAGTTCCAGACCTTACAAATGGCCAATAAGCACATGAAAAGATGGTTATCATCATTAGTCATTAGGGAAACGCAAATTGAAACCATAATGAGGTACTACTTCACACCTACTAGGATGGCTTTAGTAGAAAAGGGGAAATATTAAGTGTGGTGAAAATGTGGAGAAATTGGAGCCCTTGTGCATTGCTCGTGGGAATGTAAAATGGTACAGCCGCTGTGGAAGTCAGTTTGGCAGTTCATCAGAACAATTAGCGTATGACTCAGTGATTCCATTGCTAGCATATACCCAAAAGAATTGAAAACAGGTATTCAAACAAATAGTTTTATGCATATGTTTGTAAGAGCGCTATTCACAATATCTAAAAAGTAGCAACAACCCAAATATTGATCAGTGGATGAATAGATAAACAAATTGTGGTCTAATCCATACAATGGAATATCATTCAGTCATAAAAAGGAATGAAGTACTGAGACATGCTACAACATGATGGACCCTCAGAAACATGATATTAAGTGAAAAGAATCAGACTCAAAAGGTCACATACTGTATGATTCCACTTATATGAAATGTCTACAACAGGTAAATCTGTAAAAACAGAAAGCAAGTTAGTGGTTGCCAAGGTTCTGGTAAGGGGGGAATGGGGAGTGCCTGCTGATGGGGTTGGGGTTCTGTTTTCGGGTAATGAAATGTTTTAGAATTAGATAGAGATGCTGTTTATATAACATGAGGAAATTACTAAATGCCACTGAATTATGCATTTTAAAGTGGTTAATTT